GGAGGGGAGGAGGGGGGATGGGGGGTTGGAGAGCGACGACCTCGGGACCGATGAGAAATAGGTGCTAACAGTCTCATGCTAATTAAAAGATATTGGGGTCCAGATCTGGAAGCGCGAGTTCGCACCCCGGCGACCACACCTTCCGGAATTTAGCGTAGGAGTCAGACAGTACGCTGGACAATTGTTCAATGATGAAGAAGCCCTGCATACGTTTTTTGAACTCCCCAAAAGGTATGATCTGCTTCTTCCATGAGTGGGCTATAGTCTGTTTCGCCGCCAAAAAGACAAAATCTGCTAATTTCTGCTGAGACCGCCGTAGTTGTGGAATTTTCAAATGCATTAGGGCATGCCAAGGGTCTCTGCGGACCGTTATACCAAATAAGGAGGAGACAAATCTACAGACCCTCGACCAGAATCTGATAGCTGATGGGCAGGCCCACCATATATGCATGACATTACCTTCTGAAGAGCAACCTCGGAAGCAATTTTTAGGATAAGATGGGAAAGCGTGGGCTATTCTGGCAGGGACCAGGTACCATCTCAGGAGGACCTTTTATGCTGATTCTTGGGACAGGATATTATGTGAGCATTTAGAGATGGACCTCCATATTGAATTCCATTCCTCCAGAGATTTGGTAGAGCCCAGGTCTTCATGCCATTTGGCTACATACGTTGGGGGTTTGGAGGAGGAAGGGGTGGTCAATTGGGAGTAAAGTATCGTGATAAGTTTCGGGGCACAGGGATCTTTAAGACAGCGACTTTCAAAAGTTGATATCGGGGATGGTGGATTTCCATTTTGGAGGAGGGTTTGAATCCAGTGTCGCAGCTGGAGATAACGAAAAAATTCCCGCGGTGGGGGGGTCAGATTTGGCGACTATGGAGTCCCAAGTACGAGTTCTGTTACCATCAAGAAAGTGATACATCAGGGAATACCCCTGCGCCGGCCACCAGGTAAAGGCTGATGGTGATTCCACCGCCGGTGGGAACATTGGATTCCCCATCAGTGTGGATAGGGGAAGGTGGGGGGAAAGCAGATGACTAGAATATTTGACTGAATCCCACACTTTTAAAAAGTGAAGGAGAAGGGGGCTTAGTCGTGCGGTTCTGAGGGTGGGCGGCAGCCATAGCAGGGTAGAGAGGGCAGTAGGATGAGCATTGGGCAATTCCAGGAGAACCCACAGCGGAACCTCATTGGTGGCATGTAAACCCACCAGTGGTGCTATTTGGGATGCTTTGTAGTATGCTACCAGATTAGGAACTCCCAGACCTCCTCTTGACCTGGGGAGATATACTAGCCACCCTGGGGTGCTTATGATGCCAAATAAAGGACATAACTGAGTTTTGGAGGAATCTTGTTACAGGTTACACAGCAAGGAAAGCCTCCCCACTGTGTAACCTTTCATGGATTTCCTGGAGTGCTGCCTGTTAATTACAGGTGGAACTGGTGATGGACCCCAGTACTCAGGATGAGTCCTCCGGCCAGCTCGGCA